ATCATGAAGTCAGGACCTCCTTCCCATGCCTGGAGTGTCGACTCCGCATCAGTGGGCGCTACAGACGTAAACTCCCCACGTGGGGGTTCCTCCCCTTCTGGTGTCTCCGAAGGCCCGCTGCCTTCCGTCTTTTTCTTCCGGGCTTGGCCTTGGGAGTCACTGCCGTGGAGGTCCCCTCGGACTTGGCGGAGGCTGCCGCTTGTCGCTGGCCTTCTTCGACGTGCTCCTGCTGCTTTCGCGCGACCTCTCGGCGGAGGGCGGCGATCGGTTTGGTCTTCAGCCCTCCTCGCCGAAGTAGCTGGAGCTGAACCGACCAATCACAAGGCTACCCGAAGCAGGGATCTGCGAAGCCGGAGCGTGTGCGTGAGGACACTTAGATTGGATCCCTGTGAGATATGTGGTCCCAGCACAAACAAGTATCCACCTCCCTCCTTCGCCTTCAGGCCTCGCGAGGCTCCCTTAGTCACAAGGGCCGGGCCTTGAAGTTTGACACAGTAGGAGGCTTGGGGGGGTCTCCGGCCCTAGCAGCTTGCCCAGTTCGTGAGGCTTCGTTGACCTCGCCAGCCCTAGTGGAGGCCGAAGAGGCTGTGGGTGCCTCCTCCTCGCCGTAGTGCCCAGACCTTGGGTGTTGAGCACCTGCTGCCAGCAGTTTCTCGTCAGGGCCCGTTGGTGTCTCGGGACTATGTCGGAGGAGAGAAACTCCTTTTGGATCCTCGAGGTCAAACGTGCGTGGGAGTCTAAGCTACAGGCTGCCCTGATCAACAGGAGAGGTGCAAAAGAACCGGATTCTTTCCAGGAAGGCGAGCCCTCTCCCATAAACCGCCGCATTTCGCGATCCAACTGCCGAAGTTCTTCGACCATGCGGCTCCAAAGCTCTTCCCAGGTGCTCATAACCCAAGGGAGAGGCCAAGCGTACGTGGCTTCCTCTCCGAGGTGCAGAAGCTTGGTGGCTGTGGCTTCGAAGAGCGCGTAGTGCTTCGTCCCGTAGACGCAGGCGACTGCCCAGGCCATCCGAAGGGCAGCGCGGAACCAGGCGGTCAGAGTGGTTGGGTGCCTAGGTCGTTTCTCCAAGCGGCTGTCTGGAGGAGGAACAAAGTTGTCGAAGTCCTCCTCCGAGGTGAGAGGGAAGTCGGCGACCGAGAGCGCATATTCAGGCAGGGATTTAACTTCCCGACCTTCCAGGGAGAGAGAAGCCACAGCCCGTATCCCTGGGCCCCGGCAGTTTTAAGCGCGTGGAACAACTCCTTTCCGGTGGTGCACGCGCACACCGGGACTGTAAGGGAATCACAGCCTGGCGAGAAACGTAAGGCACTCCTCGAGGCGTCCTATGCTCGCCAGTTTTCCTTTGTCGTGCGCTGCTGCTTCATTTTTTGAGGTGACCGCTTTCGCAATCGCTTGTAGCGCCTTCGTGGTGTCATCTGTATAGTTCGCACCTCTGGTTCTGTAAAGGCTCCGGCCCTAGTGGGAGCCAGCGACGCATTGTCGCGCGCGAGGGGTCCTCGCTCTTTCCCGCTGCCGGCGGCACTGACCTGAGGCGGCGCGGCAGCAAGCAACGTACGGCAAAAGGCGTTACCGACGACTCGGGCTTGGGCGCCTCGGCCGGGCGAGGTAGCTCGGCCGCGGCCGTCATCGAATTCTTCCGCCCAAGTTCTAGAATCGGATCCGAAGGCATCTCGGTTCTCGCATTCGCCGGCCAGACTTCGGACGAGCAAGGTGACTTCGCCCGGGTAGTCCGAAGGCAGTCGGGGGAGGGCCGCCTTAAGCCGCTCAGCCAGACGCTTGCCTGCCGCAGACAAACTTTCGCCTCCCTTCGCAGCGCCGAGGGAGTGCGACTCTCCGCCCAGTCGCGCCTGTAGGCAGGACGCTACTCGACTTCCGGGCTCTCTCGTTCTGAGGCTTCGGCCCCTTTTCCTCCTTTGCGGCGGAGCTTGTGCAAAGCCGCACGCCCTGCCGCGTTGTTGCAGCCTTCCTTCCACACTGCACACGCTCTCTTGGCACGTGATGCCTGGTATATGTCCCGATGGCGCTGGCACGCTCGGAAGTATAGTACCCGTCACCTTCGCAAGAGAGATCCTCAGTGCAGCTGGTCCTCTCATCCGGCTGCAACAAGCGGATGGGCGGTTCTTCACTGCAATCCTTACGTACAGGGAGCAAGTGAGAGCCGCCCCTTCGCATCGGGTCCGTTAAGGGCAACCTGATCTGCTTGGCAAGTTAGATCTCCCTCTCCTCCGCTAAAAATCGATTTGTTACCAATGTCTTGGGTTCATGTGACACC